CATTACGCTAACTGCTGGTCCCTCCTTTTTCTTTTTTTAATTTACTATAAGGCTCATGTGATAGCCAGAGAGAGACAGAGAAGTAAAGTGAGAAAGCATCTACCGGGGTGGGGAGGGAGGGTAGGTGGCCATGCCACAATCTCTTCTCCTCTATTCTTCTCTCAAGATTCTGGGCATACACACAACTCCAGGACTCAGACCACACAGCTAGCCATGTGGGATACAGCCACTCCAACCAATATGCTACTAGCTAGCCCTAAAAGCAACATTTCAGTGAGACCAAATTATTTCCCATACCAAAAAAAGAAGTGTGCTGGATAGAAGCTGGATTGTCAATCTCAAGTAATAGTCAAACAACCATATTTCACAGAGCCCCCTATGTAGAACAAGACACAGACTTCACTGTGAACACAAAAGAATACCATAATGCTTAACTGTCCTGTCCACAACCATCCCTCCAAAGAGAGGGAAATCATTTACCTAAAACGCTGCCACTCAACTGGCAGGGCTGTTTCTTCTCTCCTGGCTTAGATTACTCCAGTGGAAGGTAGGATGGTGCTATGTAAATCAGTCACATTTTCAACAGGGAGTTTCTATAACATTTGCCTGTTTTATGTGCAATTCTCTCTCCACCTGACTGCCTGCCTGCCCCCCAACTGTTATATAAAGCTGAGGGAGAAGGTCTGAAATGTTGGTGCCATTGTTCCAGAAACAAAGAAACTACAACTATTTTCTTTTGCAAACAGAAGTGAATATAAGAAGGGAAGGAAAAGGTAAAAACTAGATTAAATTTGTTTTTTCTAAAGAGCATAATAGAATATTGTGTTATGCTCTGATTAATAAAAATCTCTTAAAAAAAAAAAAAAGCCTATAGGCTTTACTAGGTAGAAACTTTAACTCATAATTTTTTTTTCCATAACTTTGCAATTTTAGTTATTCCAAAACTTGTTTCCAAACACTAAATCAATGCTGAATGCTACTTTCATAACTTTTCAACCTTATCATAGGTCTAAGTTTTTCTCTGCCTCATTTAAGTCATTTGGTAAACACTGAGCTCTTAAGTCAGGGAAAAAAATTAGTAAACAAATTTTAACATAATAGACACTAAAATAGAAGGGGAAAAAAACATAGGAAACAAAGAATACAGTTAAATCTGAAAACATGCCTTCCAGTCACTCCTGCTCACCAGTTCTATAACCTTCAACAAGTCAGTTCAACTTTCTGGGTGTCAATTTCCTCATTTGTAAAATGAGGAATATGGGCCAAATGATTTATGCTCAAAATTCCCATTAGTGCCAACAATCCATGAATGTTCATCAAAAAGTAAGAAAATACAATTCCAAATAAAACCTTATGGTTTACAAAATACTTTCACACACGTATATTCTCATTAATTTTCTAAGCAAAGTGTGAAGCACATTGCAGAGGGGAAAACTGAAGTTCAGAAAGTTCAATTATTAAGATCTCACTGCCAGAATGAAGCAGCGCAAGTATTTAAAACCCAGAACTTCTTAGGACAAATACCAGGCTACATTATTTCAAAAATGTTAAGTAAGTAAAATTAAGAAAGAATTGCCTTTAGGCAAACCTTTACAGAGGCACCAGAGTATCCTAACACCAAACCTGGAAAGGTATTACGAATGGCCCCAATGGATAAAAGTTCCGTGAGGACAGGAATACACTTACGCTCACCTTTGGCATCACAGAAACGGAACAAGCTTCCCAGAGTGCAGCACTCAATACTCTCTGACTCACTGCAAATCTCAAATGGTTAGGAAATATCTGATACCTTAGAAAAGACAAATTTCTGAATTTATTTTGAGATTTAAACTGTAATTTGAACTAAAGTTTTAAAAATGAAGGATTATCTTTCAAAGCTCTGGATTTTTATTATAGGGATGAGTCTATTTATCTTCCCAAAAGAAAGTCCAATCTGGTTAGGGAACCAAAAGGCTCAACCTGAAAAGTTATCTGAAAATCTTCAGTACATCTATTCTTTATCTGTGCACTGATATGAACTGAAAGTCATGATAACACAAGTGATGACTGATAAGAGCCACAAAATCATTTTATCATTAATCACTACAAACTCTCTACTAAATTGGTCAGATTCAGAGAATCTGTACTCTTACACCATTTCAGAGCTCTTCACATTCCTGTTTCATAAATCAGAAAGATTTTTTTTGGAGAGGTTTTTACTATAGGGCACACACACTCGCCAGAAAGACAAAGACAGAGAGGAAGAGAGAAATCACCCCCAAGGGGGGATGGCCACGCTGAAATCCCTTCTCCTCCATTCTCTTCTCAGGATCTTGGGCACACACGCACACACACGCCCGGCATGAGTTTAAGCCACCAGGTCTGGAACTTGAACCATGGTCGACTATATGAGAGTCCAGCGACATAGCCATTATGCTAACTGCTGGTCCGCAAAAAGATTTTTGTTTAAGTCACTTATTTAGGACCAGCAGGTGGTATAGTGGTTAGGGCACTGGACTCCCACATGGCCAACCACGGTTTGAGTCCAGGACTCAGTAGCTGGAAACTCACTCTGGGTACAAGTGCATGTGTGCCCGAAATCCTGCGAGGATGAAAGAGAAGGAATTGCAGTATGGTCATCCCCTCTGAGAGGTGATTTCTCACTTTCTCTCTCTTCATCTCTGTCTCTTGGGCAAACATATGCGCCCTACAGCAAAAATCTCTCCAAAAAATAATTTTTTAAATGTCATTTATTTAAAAATGTTTGTCACTTATTTATTAACTTAATGCAGAACATATACACATCTCAATTTATTATTTCATTAACGCTTAAGGGCGCTTGAGCCATTTGCCAAGCTTGTTCTCTCAGTCAACTGAAAACAAAACCTAAGGACAGGTGCTTTCAAGCAAGATCCCCCCCAAAAATTTACAAACCTGCAAATCTCAAGTAATCCTCAATCTCTGACTTCAATAAAGTTAGCAGAAGGTAATTTTTTTAGAAGTTGTATTTAAAAGGCAAGGTGGGGGGTAGAATTATACACACAATTCAAAGCAAAAGTAAAATAAATACAAAAGCTAGAAAATGCTGGTGAAAGTATACAGTTAAAAGTAGTTAAATGAATCTCAACATAAAATTTCACTGAAGTGCTTTGGAATTATCACAAACAATTCAACTCAACCTTGCCACAGAATCCTACAATGAAGTCATAATCATCACTGCCTGGTACTTCAGATCTGAAAAGTTCACTGCACCACATTTGTTCATTTCAAACTCAGGGAGCAGTATGAGAAATTCGCAGAGAAGCTTACAACAGCAACACCTACTGACTGCCTTCAGCCACTTGCCAAACTTGTTCTCGCAGATAATTGGAAAAATCTAATGACAGTCACCTTCAAGAGCCCTTTACTTAAGCATTAATGAGATAATAAAATAAGCTGCCAGTGACATAAAACCATTCATCCCCCCCAAAATCTATTTTGCCCCTAGCCATCCGTGTGTAAACCATCACCCACATTATTTTGAATGTATGGTTAACTGCTAATGCCTTAATGTAAATAATTTATTCCATGGGCAAAAATGTCTTTATATTAACATTCTAGTTAGGGTTGTCATCTAATAGTTGGACACATCATTGACCATAAACTGTTTTACTTAAATCTTTTAGCTGAGACCACTGCTATTATCACTGTTCTGTATTATCCCATCAGCTTTTTTTTTATCCTAATAAAAGGAGCTTAATTGTAGCTTTCAAAAAATGAAAAGGAGAAAAGTGAAAGTCATTAAGTCAGGATTACATAGAAAATTAATAGGGTTACTAAACTGGCTGCAGAGAATGATTCCATAGAACTTAATCTGTACTTTTCCAAAAGATTCTGTTGGAGAATCTATGCCTTGGAAGAATAGCCCCTAAGAGAAAACAGGAGAAAGTTGACACTTAACTCCCACAGAGCACCAGTATAAAAATCATGGCTTTAAGAGTCTGAGTCAGAGTTTCAACATGAAAGGTTTGCTTTACAAGAGGAAACGCCACCCCAGTCCATCCAGATAGACCTGGAACCTGATGAAAGTCGACACCTTTAATCTGAAATTTGCATAGCATCGCTGGCTCGTTTAGAAATACAATCGCCAAGCAGTGAGTATTAAGGTCAGTGAATGCTGTCTCTAAGCTCGCCGTCATAAAAACTAAAATCTATACGGTAATGCAGTTCAGGAGCCATGACTCTCCCATGCTTCCCTCTGAAAATGAATGCCAGCGATTCGGTTAAACCACCTCTTCCTTGAAAGCAAGCCATTTCTCCGGTCTCTGTTTTCCAAACACCGGACCCCGATGAAATTTCAACCTGCCCAACACGATTACGTCCACCTAGAAATGCTATGGGGCGATTTAAGAGCATCACGAATTTCCTTTCAGGTCAGCAGAGAAGTTGGAAACAGATGGGGCGAAGGAGGAAAAGTTCTTTTTGCAGCACCCTCTCGCCTCCCCAGCCCTCTCGCGGTTTACTAGCTCTAAAGAAAGCAGGTTAGAGCATCTCAGACTAGCACTCCCCAAGACTCCCGGAGCGGGGAAGAAATTAACCACCCTCGGCCAGCGAGCTGCTCTTCTCCCTTTCCCACGATAATACTACTCGGCCTGTCCCCTCCTGCATAGCCTGCAAAAGGCTCACCCAGGTGACCGAAGAAGAAGAGCAGCCCGGTAAAGCCAAGATCAGGGGGTGGGTGCAGCCACCCGGATGCGGACGCGGGTCTCCCGGCTTCTTGCAGAGGCGCCTGCCAGATAGTTAGGCAGATTCGGATTCCGAGATGCGTGTGCGCGCGCCAGGCGCGTTGAGCTGGACTCGCCCCCGCCGGGCTGCGCTATCAGCATGCAAAAACCAAATCGGATATCAAACTTTAACCCGCCTCCTGGTGTCCTGCTCCGGACCCTGGACCAGAGACCCAGCCAAAAACCGGGCAAAGGGCTGACAGCAGCCCTGAACCCCCGCTCCCCTGCCCGGACCCCCGGGCGCCGGGGGCCACTTACCGCTCAACCCGGCCTCCTGGTGCCGCCGAGCGTCCGGGGCGCGTCTGCCGCGCGCTCTCCCTGGGGAGAAAGAGAAACCGTGTGGACCGGGGGCGCGCGCTCACTCGCCGCCTCCTCTGCAGAGAAGAGCGGGCGGCGAGGCCCGGCCGGGGCGGGCGCCTAGGGCCGAGCGGAGTGGGTCCGGGGGCGGAATCAACCCCACTCTGGAACCTGGCTCCGAGGGGGACCCGGAATGCCGGCTGGAGATCGGCCCGGGGGGCCGCACTGCTGGAGGAGTTGGGGCGCGATCTGCCCAGTCCCCGGGCATCAACTATTGGCTAGGCGCCCCGGC